ATTTGTATATTCACCATAAAGGACAATAATCAATATAATATAAATCATCAATTTCAAACTTGTTCTTTACGTATCTTCTCTGTCAAGAATCCAAAAACCCTAAAACCAAAATTAAAAACCCTTCAACAAATAATAAAAAATATAGTATTATTAAAGATTTTGATTGGATTCAATAAAGGATGCATCTGACAATTCTTATTCGGAACAATGGAGCAATGAAAATGTTTTTTTTTTATTGTTGTTTTCGTCTTCGTTTTCGTTTATGAGTGGTAAATCGTTGTTCGGTTAACCAGAGGTGAATGATATATCATTATTCGACAAATTACAATCGAACAAATTACATATGTTCAACAGACTACAATCGAACAAATTATATCTGTTCAACAGACTACAATTGAACAAACTACATCTGTTCAACAGACTACAATCGAACAACTTACATAAGTCCAACAGACTACAATCGAATAAGTGAAATTTGTTCGGATTACTACGGTCGAACTTTTTCATTTAATTTAACTATGTACTGCCGAACAGTTATAAATTTATTTTATTTTTATTTTATTTTCTAGAACTATGTTGAGCAACACCACCGACGACGTCTTGATGAGTGTTTTCAGCAATGGTGTTCACCGGTGTGAATAGAGAATGGAGAGGGAGATGAATATCCTGGGTGTGGGGTGTGTGGCTGTGTGGGGACAAAGATGGAACTTTGTGTATATATTGTTGTGGGTGGATGTGTGAGTAAAGGTAAATATATAAATTTGTGGTGTGTGATGAGAAAAATATTTAATTTTATAAATTATTTTTGATGTGTCTTTAGAAGTGGTTTGCCTTAAGAGAGAAAGTGGTGTGTAAATAGAGCCTCCCAAACAAATACAATTAATCTTACATCTCCAACCTAATATTACCTACTATTACCCCTCTAATTCAAATTTATTTGTACTTCAGCTTAATCTGGTAGACAAACATGACCTAAAAGATTAAAAACATGTCTTTAGAAGTGGTTTTGCCTTAAGAGAGAAAGTGGTGTGTAAATAGAGCCTCCCAAACAAATACAATTAATCTTACATCTCCAACCTAATATTACCTACTATTACCCCTCTAATTCAAATTTATTTGTACTTCAGCTTAATCTGGTAGACAAACATGACCTAAAAGATTAAAAACAACTATCATGTGTGCAAATTAAACGGATGAGATTATGAAAATTAAATGAATTAGATTTTCTTTTCTAAGATTAAAAAAGAGAGAGTAAATTATTGTATTTTTCACCATTCCACTTTAGCTTAAATTTCATTTTAGTTTATTGTCTCAGAATGAATTATGCTAACTCTAAATTTTGAATTCAATTTAATTTGGTTATTTTGTCCAAATTATTATCATTAATTATATTTTTTCTAATGTATACACCTCAACTAACACAAGTTAGAAAATCTCTAATTTGGATAAAATGATTAAAATATAAGATTAACATAGATAAAATAAAAAAATGGAAGCCAAAAATAAAATTGAAGTCAAACTATATACTACATACTTACTATTACACTAATTACACTTTAATCATCAATCTTTTAATTTTATCAATTTATTCTCAAATTACAAAATGTCAGCTATCACCACATCTAAATTGGTTAGCGAGACGAAATGTTTTCAAAATATTACAAAAAAAATGAACAAAATTAAAACTATAGATTAAAATACAACAAACCTATAGTTTAACAATCAAAATATAACAAAGTGCATATATTTATAGAGTACGTATATAACTATGAAAATAATACCTCATTTTTATTAATTAATTTCGACCATATGAGTCATTTAATAATTTAAATTATCAAAATTAGAAAATTAAGGTTTAAAAATGTAAAATGACTCATTCGTTGGTGTCATTGTTGTAATTAGCCTTACAACTAATTTACCCTTAAAAAACAAAGGATCGGGCTTTTCTCAACTTAACTTTTAGCTTGAAGGCCCATCTGTCCCCTATGAATCTCGTTTTAATTATTTGAATAATTCATTTCATAAGATTTTCAATATATATTATTTATGAATAAAATTAAATTAATTCAATAATTATAATATTTTAATTTTATCGTATTTGTCTCGAAAAAAATTTAAAAACAAGTATATTTTTAAAAATAAATCATATATATATATATTTTTGAAGATAAACACATTAAAATAAAAATATTCACTGTGTTTCGTTTCAATTTTTTAGCTCTAATTTTCTAGAAATTAAGTTTTTTATTTTTTATTTTTAGTGAATATTTTTAAAATTTTAAATATTTATTTTTTTACCTTTTTAGATGCATCTTACTGATGTATCTAAAAAGTAAAGTATTTATAAAAAAATATTTTAAAAAATCAATAAATAAACAAGAATACGAAAATATATTGAATTTTCATATTTTTGTTATATTTTTTATATTTAGTGAATTTTTCAATTTTTTTTTAGAAATATTATATTTTTAATTGTATTTATGTTAGGTGTATCTAAAAATTAAAAAAAAAAATACTTAAACTATTAAAAAAATTTAGTAAAAATAAAAAAAATATGAAAAATAAAAAATTATAATTTTGTGAAAAAAGAATCCTCAAAACCAAGCCAAACAATCTTATTATAATTTTTAAATTAATCTAATTTTTATTATGGATCATACACATTAAAATTTTATAAAACAACCCCGCTATGTAGCTCGAAATCCACGTGGCTCGATTGGCCTACGACTTCGTTTTGATTTTTGCTTTTCTTTTCTTTTCTTTTCTTGTTTTCTGAAGATCTGAAGAAGAAGAAGAAAAAGAGAGACGAAGAGGAAGAGGAAGGAGCAGCTAGTGAACAGAGGCATCTCATCAACAACAACATCCATCATCAACAAGAGAGCATCATCATCAACAACAACCTCTTCATCAACACAGCATCTCATAATCACCATCACCATCACCTCAAGATCCAAAATCAATTCCTCAAGATCACCATCACAGATCCAAATCACCATCTCTCTTTCTCTCTGTTTTTTTTTTTTTTTTGGGTCTTCATTACAGAGAAATGGTTTTTTTTTTTTTAGTTCTAGGGTTTTTCTAATGTTTTTTTTTTTTTTTTTTTTTTTTTTTTTTTTTTTTTTGGAACAGACAAAGTGGGTTTGATTTATGAAGTTGAAGAAGAAGAAGAAGAAGAAGAGATTCATCAAACCTAGCAAGAAAAAAAAAAAAAAGTTTCAGAGAAGGAAAAAAAAAATCAAAATAAAAAAATCAAACCCAAATTAGAGACAGGGATGAGAGGTCTCTGTTTTTCTTTGTCAAAAAATGAATGAATTCACACAAAATCAAACCCAACCCCCCCTTTGTTTTAGATATAAACAGAGGCTGTTCTCTCTCTCTACTTTGTTTGTCTTCTCTTTTTTTTTTTTATTTGAAATGAAATGTATTAAAAGAGAGATGAATAAAGGTGTACAAATTCGGGCCATTTTTGAGCCACGGTATTCGAGGTACCACTCTTTTCTCTTTATCAAATAAGAATAATACTTTGAAGCCCAAAATTGACCGGCTCGAAACCCAAAACGACGTCGTTTTGGATTTTTCTTTCTTTTGTTGCTTTTGAATACAGAGGAAGAGAGGTGAGAGAGAGAGAAAGAGAAGAGAAGAGAAGGAAGAGAGAAGAAGGGGAAAAGATGGAGACGGCTTCGACAGTGATTTGGAGATGGAGACGATGATGGCTTCCATGATCACCACTCTACTCTTTGTTTTTTTTATTTTTTGTATTTGGAGCTGAAAATGAAGGGGGGAAAAAAAATTTGTTGGCTGTGTTGATGAAGATGTGGTTGATGATGATAATGTGTTGATAAAGATATTGTTATTTATTTATTTATTTATTTTTTCTACTGGATCTAAATCTAAAGATGAGGGGGGAAAAAAAATTGTGATGATGACGACGACGATGATGATGATGTTGATGAAGATGCAGCTCCCTTCTTTTTTTCTTTTTCTTCTTCTTCTGCAGTTGCATCTTCTTCATCTTCATCTTCATCTTCAACAGCGAGAAAGAAAGGAGGGAAAAAAAAAAAAATTCAAAACGACGTCGTTTTGGATTCGGGACAAATTCAAGCTTGGCAATTTCGGGCTACGTGTGTACAAATTCGGGCCATTTTCGAGCCACGGTATTCGAGGTACCACTCTTTTCTCTTTATCAAATGAGAATAATACTTTGAAGCCCAAAATTGACCGGCTCGAAACCCAAAACGACGTCGTTTTGGGTTTTTCTTTCTTTTGTTGCTTTTGAATACATAGGAAGAGAGGCGAGAGAGAGAGAAAGAGAAGAGAAGAGAAGAGAAGGAAGAGAGAAGAAGGGGAAAAGATGGAGACGGCTTCGACAGTGATCTGGAGATGGAGACGATGATGGCTTCCATGATCACCACTCTACTCTTTGTTTTTTTTATTTTTTGTATTTGGAGCTGAAAATGAAGGGGGGAAAAAAAATTTGTTGGCTGTGTTGATGAAGATGTGGTTGATGATGATAATGTGTTGATAAAGATATTGTTATTTATTTATTTATTTATTTTTTCTACTGGATCTAAATCTAAAGATGAGCGGAGAAAAAAAAATTGTGATGATAACGACGACGATGATGATGATGTTGATGAAGATGCAGCTTCCTTCTTTTTTCTTTTTCTTCTTCTTCTGCAGTTGCTTTTTCTTCATCTTCATCTTCATCTTCAACAGCGAGAAAGAAAGGAGGGAAAAAAAAAAAAATTCAAAACGACGTCGTTTTGGATTCGGGACAAATTCAAGCTTGGCAATTTCGGGCTACGTATCAGAATTGATCAAATAAACAATCAAAAATATTTCAACAATGATAGATGACCCGAAAAATCATGATTCGAATGGCTTAAAACACCAAAAACGACATCGTTACACATTCAAATCATTCGAGACATAAAAATTCAAACCACCAAATATTTTTCAAAATATTTAGTGGCACACGACCCCCCCTCTCTCTCTCTCTCTCTCTCTCGTTATCTCAAGTTGAAAGCCCGACCAAAAAAAAAAAGAAGGAAAATTTACAAATCCAACGGATGAGATTAGACCAGTTTCATCGACCAGTCTGACTATCGTCCCGCGTTTATTTTCACACTCTTTTGAATCCCCAACTTTTCAAAACTCCGAAACCCCCAGATTTTGCAGAACCCAGAAACGCGAGAGACGAGAAAAGAGAAGAGAAGAGAAATGGCTCAAGCAGCGAGGCTCAATCTTCGAATGCAGAAGGAGCTTAAGCTCCTCCTCACCGACCCACCTCCCGGCGCCTCCTTTCCACTTCTCTCCCCCGATTCCGATCTCTCTTCCTCTTCCTTATCCACCATCGATGCCGGTAACTCCTCATATATATATACACATATTCATGTATGAAATTATCTATATGTATATTTAATTTTGTTTATTGGGTCGTGTTTGATTTTGATTTTGATTTTTGGGTTTTGAATAAGCAGAGATTGAAGGTCCTGAAGGAACTGTTTATGCTAAGGGGATATTTAAGATCAAGATTCAAATACCTGAAAGGTATGGTTTTGAGTGAATTTTTGTGTAATTGTTTATGTTGTTAAATTTTGCTCCAATCCTTAACCTTTTTTTTTTGCTCAAAAATTATCTCCAATCCATTAATCAAATGTTCATTGAATCGAATCAAAGGAGAACCATTTTTTTCCCATCAAATTGAGAATTCATAAAATATTTCACCAAATTAGAATTTGATGAAAATTTTAAAAAGATTAAGCATTGTAGATGATTTTTCTTTTTTCATCAAATTTGATGAAAAGAGAAATTGTGATAAGAGGATAATTTTTAAAAGATTTTGATGAAAATTTGATGAAAGTGTTGGAGTAACTCACATCAAATCAAGCTTTATAGTCAAATTTAGAATCAATTTAGATGAAAATTTTGATGAAAGGTTGGAGATGGGTAAGGAATAAAGTTTTTTTTTTCCTTTTTTTTTTTTTGGGTAGGTACCCATTTCAGCCTCCAATCGTGACCTTTGCTACGCTAATCTATCACCCCAATATTGACAATGGAGGGCGGATTTGTCTTGACATTCTCAATCTTCCCCCGAAGGTGAGTTGTAGCAATTGCACCTTTTGGATTGCATATTTCTTCTGTGGGATTGTGGGCAATTTTTTTGATTTCCTTTCAAGTTCATGAAAATTCATCTCTACTTGATTATCCTTTTCAAATTATTGTATTTGATAAAAAGACCATATTAATGTTTATTTAGGATAATTGGATACAAGATTCACAGAGTTTTGTTCCACTAAACCTCACATAAATGAGATCTCATAGTAATTTTTACAAATCTAGCTGACATAGCTAGAGCTAAGTAAAATATCACAGAAGATTTATAATGAAGAGAGCAGAATACAGCTGTAAAGGAACAAAACTGTCCATGGTAGGTGATTAAGAAAACCCATTAACCTCAATTCATAGCTGATTAACACTGATCAGAAGTATGCTAGAATTGCCTCAATTTGAGATCAAATAGTGGTTGTTTGTTAAAAGTCAAAGGACTTGAAACTGTTGGCATGGGGTCTTGCCCAAGCTTGATTTTGAGTCACTGTTCACATACAGCCTAGATTTCTCATTACTCACTCTATGCGGGAAGAGTTTGATGTACAGGGTGCAGTTTGATTGTCCTGGATAACTGAGATCTTGTAGATGACTAGACTTTGTAGAGAAGTTTCCACAGATTGCAGTTTAAGCGCAGCATCGATGTCCTCAACTACCCTCAATTGTATAAAATAGAATAAGAAAAATATCTTATAACTTTTGAAAAAATCTAGATTTGATGCGGAAATTCTTTTAGAAAATCTAGATGCGTCCCATTTAACGTGATTATCGATATAGGCAATCCAATTAAAAATACTATGCAACCATGATCAATGTAAATAAGAGAGAGTAAGAGAAAAATAAATCCACGGCACGAGATATTTTTTACATGGAAAAATCACAATTGGAATCCATCAACTTGTGATAAAAAATCACGGCCCGTCGGCCAAACGAATAATCCACTATAAAAGAAAGGTAGTGCAAGGGATCTCTCACAAAGGCCATTCTAGGCAATACGAGTCCACTCACCTTCGCACGTCTTTGCTCACTCTATAGGTACCTCAACGATCTCCACTGGATATCCACTTTGTCGAATCCACACGACGGACAGCTTTGGAATCCACACCAAATTCCAAAGCTCACACAATACAATCTTGGATCACACCAAGAAGGTTCACTTTTGAAAGTTGTGAAGAACTTGTTACAAAAACTTGATGATTAGCTTTGAGGCTCTTGAATGCTAATGTATCATCAAGCAAATGAGAGTGCAATCAATCCTCACTACAAGTTCACTCTCAAAGAATAAATCTCTCTTATAAAATAAACTCTCTCAAAAATATATTTCTCTAAAAAATAAGCTCACTATGATTTTTGCAATGTTGAGCTCTAGAGAGGTTTTTGAGAGATAGAAAATGCTCTAGGAGAGATACAAAATGATCTTGGAGAGTTGCCACAACAAATGAGCAAAGGGTCCTTCAAATAGACCTGAGGCAGGGTAGGTTAGAGGGCGCGGACATGTTATTCGCGGGCGCAGTCATCTTTGATAGCGGGCGCCAACCACCTTCGCGGGATGCAGAGAAAATACTGAGAGCTGGACTTTCGGACAAAAACTGGTCGCAGGGGCGAGATTATAGGTCGCTGGCGCGACTATGCGCGCATGCTGAGCTGCTTTTGCTGACTCTTTGCTCCAGAATTTCGGCCATGCTTTCTTCCATGCGTTGTGACCTTATCCCACAGACAAACAGCCACCCTAAACCGCCATTTAGCTCTGTAAAGTCCATCCTTTAGCACATGTTTTATACTTCCAAGAAGATCAAAAACAATCCATCAAAAGTTGTGCATAATTTGACAAAACCAAGTCTTTGACAATCTTGATATCCATCAAGATCTCGCTTCACATGCTTGCACCAACTTGGATTTGCTGGAGAAATCAACACAAATCTCCAACAGAGATTGATTAGTAAGATAGGATAAATATAATAACATCAAAACAATGTGAATCAACAATTAAGATAAGTTTTGTCAAGAGAGGTATTGCCAAAACACAAAATCATTTAGGATAAAAATCCTAACAATCTCCCTTTTGGCAATGTCGGGACAAAACTTTATAAACCATCCCTGCATAAGATTTGTTGATTCAAACAACAAATGAGACAAAAATGAGTAAACAGAAAATCATGATATTGGCTTTGGAACAGGATTGCCAACTAGCATTACAATGCACAACACTGGGATTAAAAATCCTAACAACTTTTAAGTTTAATTGATTAAATTTTCCAAGTTTCTTGTGCATATATCAGTTTTGGTTATTACTTGATTCATTTTGTGTGTTATTTTGATGAGGTCCTGAATGTTTTAGTTTGTCAGATCCACATGAATAATTGTACTCATTCTTACCGAGACTTCCTTTCCAGCAATATTTGCTGAAGAATCTTTATTTGGTCCTTAAAATTTGTAAACCATATGTTTGATGGCTTGCTAGAGTTTCTGTTCATATTATCTCTCTGTTTATTGTTTACGTTTCAGTAGGCAAGTAATATTTGTCTTGGTTCATGCCAATGACTATGCAGTAACCAATTAGCCAGCCATCATATATGACACAATCTCCTAGAACCATTGTTCCCACAGAAAGCTATCCCTTGTGTTTCCCAGTTTCTCATCATGCAACCAATGTTTCAAGTTCAAGAAAGGTGAATTGCAATTATATATAGAGAATGCTTGTGACCCAAGATATCATTTGATTTTCTGATTTCCACATGCTAATTTCAATAAACTAGTTATGTTCGTTCTTGCATATTTCTATGGATTCTTCAAATCAATAATATTAATTATAAAATTACATTTGTCTTTCATTTGTTTCATTTATAACAGGGTGCATGGCAACCATCTTTGAACATTTCAACTGTGCTAACAAGCATCGGGTTGTTACTGAGCGAACCCAACCCTGATGATGGCCTAATGTGTGAAGCAGTAAGTGGATATATGCTTAAAAATGGTTGGGGACTGATGACATCTCTTTGATTTCTTGTTCTGTTTGTATTAATGTGCAGAGCAGGGAGTATAAATATAACAAACAAGCATTTGACCAGAAGGCACGAACAATGACTGAGAAATATGCCAGAGCTGGAGAAAGGGGTAATAGTAGTGGCAGTGAAAACTTTCAAACTCAATCAAATGCAAGCATGGTACTGATTAGCATTTGTCATCTTCGTTATAATTTAGCGTTCATGATACTTTTTCTTTAAAATTCTTAGCTACTTACTGCAGATAGAAACTAAAGGATCAGATGTCTTGAAGTGTGAACTTGACAAGTGCTTTGTTAGTCATAATAGGCAATGTGGGATTGGCCGGAAGTTGTCCCTCGAGTGTTCTGGGTCACATCAAAAAAGGGACAGTGAAAACGGAGTGAACAGAGTTCATGACGCGCCTATTAATCATTGCTTAGGGAAACAGACGGATGTTAAAGAATCAAAAGAAGTGTCAAAAGAAATGTTAGAAGAGAATGATCAGAATCATGAGAGTCCACAGTGGACCAAGCGAAAGTTATCACTAGAATCTTTGGGTCCTCCCCAGACTAGTGGTGATAATGACAAAGAGAATTTGCTGACAGATTACCGTTCATCATTTTCCCAAAACATTGTTATGGCTTCTACGGAGTCCTTGTATGTGCAGCAGGAGAGTCACCGTAATGAGAAACAACCTCATCAAGATAAAGATAACAAATCAGTAAAAGATAGAGTGATCACAAGTTCAAAAAAGCTGTGTTTGGTTGGCCAGAAAATGTCATTTGAATCTTCGAAGTCTGGCCAAATAAGCGATAATAATGAAGAAAAACTACAAGGGAGCTTGCCACTGCCTCAGACTATTAGCCACAATGAACAACAGCCTCGGCAAGATTCTAAAGGCCAAACCAGAGACGACTTTGGTAGTGCAAAACGTAAAAGGCTTGGTTTGGTGAATAAGAAGCTTTCTTTGGCACCTTTCAGCTCTTTTCGTTGTCCGGACAATGATAACAAAGAGAATGCAGCTCCAATTCAAAGCTCGGCCCTTTCATACCCCAACAGCCTTTCTATAGGATCAACAATGTCATCATTGATGCCACAGGTTGGTGAGAATTACAGTGATATAACAGGGAACTGTGGCAAAAAAACTTGCCATAAGAACAATGATGTTAACATTGCTTTGCACTTGAACTCCAGAAACCTAAATGTCACTCCATCAAAGCCACTGTCCGTGCCACATGACTGCAAGCTTGATGAGATGCAGCAAACTAAGCAAGTTCATGAAGAATTATCTGGAGAGACCGAACAAAAGACAAAAGGATCGCCAATACTTGAAGCAGTGATTGTCTTGGACAGTGAAGACAGTGAGGAGGAAAGCAGCGGATCTTTAAGGTCTAGATTGTTGCTTGCACGGAAACGCTTGCCTGGGAAGTGGAAAGCCAAAGCTTGAAAGTTGAACAGTTTCTTCCAACTCAGCTCTTAATGCTCTTGTGATTGTTCATAGCCAAGGTACTTATTTGGTTTTCACACTCTTCTCAGAACTAGTGAACATGTTAAAATGAAAGATTTGAAATTTGAGCACGACTTGTGCTGCTATTGACAATACATTAATTTGGTTCCCACCCCATAGCTTGTATATTCCTTTAATCTCTGCAAGAACATGATTGGGGCAGTGATTTGGTTTTGTATTTCAGTTTTCTTGCTTTTTGTTTTCTCTTTTGCCTGTGATTTTGTTCTAGCACAAAAATCATGGTGAGGATGGTTTTGGTTTGGGAAGACTAAATAAGTGTACTTTTTGACTTTTTTTGTATTATGTGTAGAAAAAGTAGAGAAGAGATGTTGATTGATGTGACCCAAAAAAGATAAAAAGATGAAATAAATGCACTTTTTTAGGTTAGCCAAATTTAGGCTGAGACTTTGGGATTCTTTGAGCTCAGTCATTCAAGAAGTGATTTTTTACTATATCAATTAGCTAACTCAAAGTTGAAATGCTCATTTGAGATGTCTCTTCCTCAATTTAGTAAGACAAATTTTACATTACCTTATGTAGTATAAGTTATGTGCATGTAAATAATTCATTTGAGACATCTCTTGCTCAATTTTAGTAGGACAAATTTTACTTCACCTTCCATGGTATAAGCTATAGAAATAATTATATAACCCTATGTGATTTGTGAATTAAAATATATCACTAACTTTTGCTAAACGTACTTGTAAATTGATCTATGGGATTGTTTGGGGTTTACTTATTTAGTGTACTTTTTAATTTTTTATAAAAAAATATGTAGAAAAGTAGAGAGGTGATAACTTTTGCTTAACGTACTTGTAAATTGATCTATGGGATTGTTTGGGGTTTACTTATTTAGTGTACCTTTTGATTTTTTATAAAAAGATATGTAAAAAAGTAAAGAGGTGATGTGACTTAAATAAATACACTTATTTAGATCATTTCCAAACAACTTTTAAATGTCCTTATCTTCTTCCTCTTTTGAACTAAACCTTCCACTTCACCTGATGTGGCATGGGGGATATGCTCTTTACTTTTTTTTGTTTATTTGGATAGAAAATGTGACTGTATTTTACTTTACAAATCACAAGGATTAAGTGATTATTTTTAACCCTATTTATAAAAAAGTGATTATTTTCACATGACATGGAAATTATGTGCACATGCATATGGGGCTTATACACTAGAGTAAAATGAAATTTGCCCATTTTAATATGTGAATTATTAGCTTGAATTTAATTGCCCTTGTGCAGCTTATTTGTCAACTCAATTTCTGACCAAAGAACACTGAAGTTTTACTATATATAGTGGGGGTTTTAAAGAGCAATGTTTCAAATACATGAAATCTTCGTAAAAAAGTATTATTTTATGTTTGTATTGTTATTAGTTTCTAAAATATAAGCTTTGCATAGAATGAGTTACAAAGTTATTTCCTCAAATCTCTTTTTACAAGTTTAGTTTTTTATTTTGGAAAATCTCATTTTATGTGTTGATGATTTAAAATTCAAAAAATTTATTTATTACACTATCCACATTATCTTTAATCAAATCTAAAAGTGGCAGATACTTATAATTTTGAATATAAGTTAACTTTAGAATTCAAGTGAGAAAATTTTGAAATATGACGGGTCAAAAGTGAAAAAAAATAAATTTGAAAATACAAAATAGAAAAGTGGCCAAACATAAATAGAGCAAAGCATAATTTACCCTTTTTACTTTGCATTTGGGATAGCTTGTTCGCAATTATTTTCTTTTTATTTCCTACTAATATTTATCAAGGGAGAACAATACTCGGGTGTAAATAATTGCAAAATTTTATTTGATTTGCTAATTGTCACGACCCAAACCCGGTACCTAAAGGTTCGGCGTCGTAACAAGATAAAAATGAAATAATTCAAATAATTTTGTAGTTGTAGCACAAGCGAATAAATTAAATTAATTAAAATAAAATAATTGGGTACCAAATGCTTATGTAAAAGGAAACAAATATAGTCATTTGAGCTTTATTGTATTACAAGAGTCCGATAAAAAACAAAACAGATAGAAATCTTAAAAAAGAAATAAAAAAAAAACAATACAACGATTCATTTTCCATCTTGATCCCGCTAAACCTTGTCACCTAAAAGGGGTAACAGTTATAAGTACATAACAGAATGAAAAATATTATACTGTGAGTATTTAAAAAAAAAACTCGGGTGTCACACTAATAGTATCCCATTATTTATTTAGAGTTAATTATTTAAAAATCCTATTTACAAATGTTATGATAGATCACATCCTATTTAAGATTTTTTGAATCAATAAGTCAGATTTAGTAAAACTGAGAATATTATCAGTTTTTTTTTTTAATTTTTAAAAATAAGAACATTATTAATTTTGCATAGTACTACTCCAAATAATTGTTTCATTAACTGATGAAAAAAATAGAGTATGAGATTAAATGTTTTTACCATTCTATTTATTGATTTGATTCAACTAACAAATAAAATCGAAAAAATTATCAATCCAGTTTTAAAATTAAGAACATTATCAGTTTTTTCATTTTTAATTTTTTTTTTTTAGTTTTGCACATCAATGTTCCATCATCATGTTTTCTTATAGACAAAAAATTTTTAGTTTTGCACAAAAATAATTTAGTTTTTTCAATTTTTTCAAAAAATTAGTTTTTTTTTTTTTTTTTGAATTTGAAGTTTGATATTTTAAAGTTTTGAAAATCAAAATAAATGTCAAACAATCATGCTCCTTTATATGTAAGGGGGATTTACGTGTAGGTTTTAATAAATGAACTTATTGTCTAATAGATCCTATGATAATTAATGGCATTTTTCATCAAATACTATTTAAAAAGTCATTAATTGTTAATTTTTGGAGATAGTTTGAAAATTTTGTTACAAAAATCATTAATTATAAGTTTTAGCTACAATTTAAAAAAATCGTCACAAAAAGTCGCTAATTTTCAATTTTCAACGATAGTTCGAAAATTTTATCACAGAAAAACATCATTAATTTTCAACTTTCAATAACAGTTTGAAAAATTCGTTACAAGTATTAGTGTTAATTTATAAAAACCGTGACAAAAAGTCACTAGTTGTCAATTTTTAGAGACATATACAAAAAATATCACCAAAAAATTATTTTTAGCGACGATTTTATTAAAACTTATTTTCAATAGGATTTGACGGGAATGAAATCTAACTATTATGATCTATTGATAATTTACGGTATAAATAATCATAAATGATAAATAATTATTATTTGAAAGTAATTTCAACTATTAAAAATATAATAAAATTTGAAGGTCTAAAAAATCTGGGTGGATTGGTGTGTAAATGTCCTATTTATTTATTTATTTTAAATAAAAAAAACCGTAAAATGAAAAATAAAAAGAAGGGATACAAATTGATGAAGGTGCGAAGCAGAGGATAAGAGAGGAATTGTGTGTAGAAGGGCGGTTGGTTTGGTGGTTGTGGCGGCGGCGTTGGTGGCGGCAGAAAACAGAGGAAGCTGGTGAAGTCGTAGTAGAAACAACAAGAATTGGAGGCAAAGAGAGACGAATCGCACATATCTATGGCGTCGATTTGCTTATCGCTGTCTTCACTATCACTATCGACCTCCAAATCTGTATCAATGCCCTCCTCTTTCGCATCTTCGTCTTCCCCATGTTGTGGATGCTCTCTTGTGCTCATGCCCTTGTTCACGCCTCCAAAAGCAGTGAAATTTATGAATTATACAAGAATTCGTAGGGCTCAGAGGCAGATTGTTCGTATGGCCCCCGATGAAGAAAAATTGACTCGCCGTAATCCCCTTGATTTTCCCATTGTATGCTCTCTCTCTCTCTCTCTATATATATATATATATATATATGGCTAGTTATCTTAGCAATTGATGCTTTTGGGGTCATGTTCTGAATGATAGGACTTTAAGGCCATGTTTGATTCACAATACTAATAGTGAGGTATTAATAATCCTATCAAATTAGTGTGGTATTAACTATTCCACCCCTACCCATTACTAATTATCCTACAAATTTGTTGGATTAATTATCCATTGGATTAATAGTCCTAAACCAAATATCAAAACAAACATAAGATGGTTGGGCCCACGGATTAATAATCCTAATCCCATACTTTAATCATTCCAATCAAACATATTCTAAAGTCATAATTTTTAGTCTTTTTGTTTGTGCTGTTGTCCAAGTTAACTAAAGCAAAATTGTGTAGATTTAGCTCTCAAGGGTAAGGAAAGTAGACTCAAAATGTGAAAAAGACACTTCCTTTTTGGTTCGTGAAACTAGAATTGCTGTTAATGTTTATTTGCCGAATTACATCCTATTTTATTTGTGTTATGTGCTCAAGCCTATAAAAAGTAATGAGTTTAGGATAATAAAGAAGCTTTGGACTTGCAATTAATCCCAACGAATTCCGTTTCCAAATCTCTACCCAAATCCACGATCCAAACACAGGCTAAATGTTTTGCTATTTGAACTGGTATGGTGAGTAATTTCATTTTGTTTGACATGGCAGGAGTGGGAAAGGCCTAAACCTGGACGTAGGCCTGATATATTCCCTCAATTTAGCCCAATGAAAACGCCATTGCCTCCCCCATTGCCCTGTGATCCTCCTGAAGAAGATGAGGAAGAGGAAGAGAAGAAAGAGGAGGAAGAGGAAGATCCTGAAAAGGAAGAGCCGGATGAGCCAGAAAACCAGTAGCTTTCGAGGTTTTTACCCACAACTTTATTGTAGGCCTTGCTTGCTGATACCTAGTTACTTTGTATCTACTGCGTATGGAAACTAAATTGGGGGAGAAAATTTAAAACCAGATAGTGTGTCACTGTCTGAATCCCCGTTTATCCATGTAATGATGCAAATATGCATGTAGCAAAAGTTTTGTGGTAAACCCCTTGCAGTTATTTTGGAACCCTACTGGCTGAAATGCTATATGTAGTCTTTGGAGTCATTTTGTTTAGATTTCTGAGTTGTGTAATATTGTCGTTAGTGATCAATTTTGAGATAAGGGTTGGTTATCTTAATCCAGTTGGCTGTTGCTTACCAATTTGTCAAACATTTTCAATTTAGTAGAAAGATTTAACACTAAATTGCAGGCTTTGCTCAATATCTTCATGGTTCAATTAGGTTTGGTGTTGAGATTTTGTGCTGACAGTTCAGGACGATCACTTGAGATTCTGCTGCATGTGTTGCGTTGGAGATTTGTCATCTTGGGGACTATTGATGTGTTATCTGGTCTTTAAATTAATAGAAATTTTATTGGAGATATGTTGTAATGTAAGGGGCACTGCATAAGGGACCTTCAACCAGCGGACCAGAGTTCTGTATTGCCAGATGCCATGAGAGGCAATTGACCACCTTAAACTAGTGTCCATTGTTACAGCCAATTAGCTGTGTTAACTGGAAGTCCCAAACCTCTAATAAGCTTTTCCCCAAGCAAGCAACAGATAAGCTTGGTCTATGTCAAGGACCGGAAACCACGTTATGTAATCTTCAACATGAGATGGACTGAGCCCTTCTTGCCCTTACATCTGAGATAACCATAATACATCCCATGTAAGAACTCGATGCAAATGGAGCTTCTTTAAGGTAGGCAGCTTTCCTAGCTCCTCCAATGGGCAATGGGCCTTGGTGAAGTGCACTTCTTACCAAAGTTAGCTTGGTAAGGGTGGTTCTGTGAATTCAGCTAGCGTCATAAGTGGTTACCCTAGATAAAGGTTGCAAACATTTTGATAGCCATAGAAGTTTAGGGGTGGACTTCTGAAGTAGGAAGACTCTGCTTGCCAGAACTAGATGCTTCAAGCTCAGGGATTACTAGTGATTGCCTTGCACTATATGGACTATCATTCCGCAATAGCGTAGCCGTACCTTGACTGCTGGATTGTTTGCAATCAATATATATAAATATATAAACAGCTGAAGTCACCTCAGCTCTGTCTGGATCCACCCGATATCTTTCCTCAACCAATACAAGTGAGTACATTCTTCAACAAAGATGGTTCACTAAGTACTTCGTTGGTTTTCCATATGACATTAGCAAGCCATTAATACTGTTTTCCTTAACAACTCGTTGCCACTTTAACTTGAGCTGCCTATATTAGATATATTTTCTTGAAAAACTTGAAACTTCTTTCCTTAAACATGACTAGCTCATCTTCCCCTAAAGTCTGCCCAAAATAACATGAAGCCGCTTTCCTTAAACATGGCTAGCTCATCTTCCCCTAAAGCCTTCCCATATTAGCTATTGAAGAAAAAAGGGAGAAGATTGGTGTCACTTCCAGACTGCCATTTTTCTGTGATGAAAAACCACAAGACTATTGAAAGAAATTCACAATCCTCACAACCATTCTTTTGGCTACTGTCTCTTGGATGTCATGTCCCCACACTTTTGTAAATTAATCAGAATGTTAAGTCTTGTCATTGTGTATGGTTTCACATGATTTATATTTTGTAGGCTTTGTCAATAGCGGATCAAACTAGAAAAGCAATACATAGGGGGCAAGAGGTAGTTGGTTAGTTATTTACCTGCTTGGGTAGCCCAGCAGTTAAGGGGCGAATTCGGGAATGAATCGTAAACTTGAACATCTTGTTTGACCTGTGCTAATATTTTCTGGGCTTACCGATACTTGTAGTTTGCGGGTTTCCAAAATTACCCTGCAGTCACAAAGGGGCTACTAAGAAAAAAAAATGAATGCGAGTTCCCCTTAAAACTAGCATACAAATTATGCATGCCTTAGTTCCTCTAGTTATAGCTAATCAGTTGCATGTGCTAATGGGTGCCAATTTTTTTTCAGAGCTGTAAGACTACAAGTTCATAAGGTTACAGACTGGAATATTTAACAAATTTCCTCTTCGGATAACAAGAAATCTCTTGCTTGGTTATTGTAACGACTGTGAAAGCTGATATTTTTATCTAGCCTCAATCACGGATATAGATACACAATTTAGTGAACATTCATCTGTTTTTCCTGTAGATGACAATTGAGCCTGGATTCCACTTCTCCCAGTATAAAATGCAGGTCTTTTGGGATCAGGCAGTATTGTAGTTACATTTGTAAGCATGCAAATAATATCTAACACGGTGGGTCTGTCAACTGCACACTCTTGTACACAGAGGAGTCCGACATGAATGCATCATAGAAGCTCATTCTCAGGAGATTGGGAGCTCAACACCGGATCCGTTAGCTCTAGACTAATAACTTTCTTCCACAAATCCCATGTCTGCAATAATGTTCGTCTTAGACAAAATGTCAATTTCTGAAGGACAAAGTAGATAGGAAAAGTTGAAGCATAGATAAAGGTTAGAATTATCTAGTGACTTACATGTTCTATAAGGCTGAGAGGGCCTGATAAATGTGAAAAAACAGCATTGTTCTTGCCACTCACAATCTCTAATAGTAGGACACCAAAACTGAAGATGTCAGACTGAGATTCCGTTCATTGCATACTCAAGAGACATATAACCACTGCATTAAATCGTGAAAAAAAAACAAAGATGAATATTGGAAATCCATTTAGAAGACATATATGAAAAAGGATTCCAAGTTTTCCCCAAGATGTTGCTACTCACTGTCCTATTTGTATTTACTCCGGATTCATTTTGTCCAAAAATCCTGGCTAATCCAAAATCTGATATTTTAGGGTTCATTTGGTCGTCAAGTAAGATGTTTTACTCCGGATTCATTTTGTCCAAAAATCCTGGCTAATCCAAAATCTGATATTTTAGGGTTCATTTGGTCGTCAAGTAAGATGTTGCTCACTTTCAAGTCTCTATGTATTACTCTCATTCGAGAATACTTATGAAGATAAAGCAGTCCTTGAGCTACCCCTTCAATAATGCTGCTGATCCGTCTATTCCAACCCAGTAGTTTGCTTTTAGTTGGATCTGTTGCAAATTGAAATCTAAAATTGGAGTGACCAAAGTTTGAAGAATACTAATTGATAAACCACAAGTTAAATGGGGAGTTTCCATCGATAAAAATAGAAAAAGAAAAGGGTTAAATGGACAGTTTACTAACCAAAGAAGAAGAAATCCAAGCTTTTATTAGGCATATATTCATTTTACTAACCAAAGAAGAAGAAATCCAAGCTTTTATTAGGCATATATTCATAAATTAGCATCTTTTCTTCTTTTTGAATGCAACAACCTAATAGTTTGACAAGATTCATGTGTTGAAGTTCAGCAATTAGGGTAATCTCATTCTTGAATTCCTGTACTCCTTGGCCTGAACTTCTTGCTAGTCTCCACCGCAATCACTTTGCCCATCTGGTAGTATACCCTACACATGTTTTCCTTCGTTAGACATCAACTCTCAATTCTCAATTCAACTCAAATTTGTGTGTATCATAGTTATACCGTGTAGACTTCCCCGAATCCACCTTGTCCCAGCTTCTTGTTAATTGAAAAGTTCTTTGTGGCGGCTGCTATTTGAGGAAGACTATATAACTGCAATTGCTGACCTTTGTTTTTACCAAATCCAAACTTCTCTGAATTATTACGTTCAGAGAAAGGTGTAATTTTAGATCTTAGCAGGAACATAAACTTGTCTTGGTTTGTTTTCCTCTCTCCTGCAAACAAGTAAAAGAATTCTAAATTGCATTGACTCGTATATTTAACTCATTTGTAGGCCTCAAGAGAGCAACTCTTAGCCTCACCTTCTTGTTCCATGCGTTTTAGGTTCCTCCATCTTAAGTAGCAGAAAAAACCCAACAGAAGCGTTGCTACAACTAGTGCAACTGCTACAAAAGACCATATCCACCAATGCTTCTGTTTACTTCTGAATGAATTTTTCTTTCTGCTTTCTTCACTGGGAATTCTCTCTAAAACAGAATCACAATATCATAATAGGTTAATTAGGTTGTCTTGAACATGTTCTTAATCACCTCATTGTTGCACATATTCTTGGTTAAATCTTTTAGTGCCCCTATTGGAGAAGTCTTTTGGTAGTTCTTTAATGCATTTCTAACATTTTTAAAGGAGAAAGAAATCAAGAAGAGGATGCACTATTAAAAACATGAATTTGTAAAAGTCATCAGAAAACATGAACTGTAAAAGAAAATTTGCAAAACGCAATGCTCGATGGAAAATCAATCATGACAACACTATGCACGCCTTTAGTACTATTTTTAAGAGTGAGAACGTAAATGTCTCCAGTATTTGCATCAGAAGTGAAATTTGATCCCCTGCCTCAAAATTGGCATCCGATTCCAAGACTAGATGAAGAATAAGCAACACAAGAACAATTGTTCCAGCATATGACATGACAATCACTGAGGGTGAAACTCATATTATACTCAGTATACCAGGAATAGTAGAGGACATCAAAGAAACCTCGTGTAGGCACAAACAACTCAGAACCTTTCCTTCTGTTTCAAGCACACTGCCGACCCATTCTCCACTGAGTTATGACATGGATTGGCTGTCTTGAATCTCCAATCCGAGAACCATTGTTCTGAACTAATGTAAACTGCATGATTTTTCCCTGGAGTTGTAATTCCCACCTTGCTGCAACAGTAGAACTGTTCTTGACAAAGTAAGAGAAGTACCTCTCACTGCCATTTGTGACAAACTTTTTTTTTGATAAATAAGCAACCTTTATTAGAAAGCATCAAGATGATGCAAAAAATACAGAATTGAGACCTGCAAAAGGCCGAAAAAACTAACGAATCAAATCCTCCACAAAATCAACAAAAACCAAAACATTTGGATCGACTGTACCCTTAACCCAACTATGCAATGCCAACAATAATCTACTTTCTAACTATGAAACGGAATGACACTTATTCTGAAACACGCGCCTATTCCGTTCCAACCAAAGCAACCAAAGCAAACAATGGGAAGAAAGCACCCAAGCCTTTTTGCGCCTCTTTCCCACCCGAGGCCCCCCTAACTTTGTAAAAAAAAAAAAAAAACTTTTTAATACGCCTAACACAGAGGCCGGTTGCACCCAAACCAAACAAAGCAACAACAAAATTCCAAAGCCTAGTCGCAAATGGACAATGAAGAAGCAAGTGATCCACCGTTTCCGCATCCCTACAACACATACAACACCAATTGACCAACATATGT